ATTGATTGTTGTTGTTATTATTATTATTATTATTATTATCACTATTATTTATAATTATTTTCCTTATAAGTTATTGTTGTTACGCTTACTATGTTATTAATACCATAACTAATGTTGATGTTATTATTCTTGCTGCTATAGTATCATAATTATTACTATTACAATATAATACAAATGTTTCATTCCCATGTGTTGACGTAAGACTTGGTTGGCTTAAACGCGAAGCCTATGAGCTTTAAGCGACTAAAGTACATAGGCAAACTCGAGACATCGCAAAAACACATCGGACAAGGAAAACATCGATCGAATTACAATTATTATGTATAGATTTTAAAATTACATTCATTTTTCAACATGTATCACCACACAAAGTAAATGTACATTAAAGAGCGAGTCAATGGGCGGCGTTCGCACAGTCTAGTAAAATCTAAAAATAATATGCAAGTGGTTGTCCTAATTTCAAAATATCCTATCGAAAACCGCAAAGAATCAGCAGGGGAAATGGGAACGTGCAATCTCAGCTGCTAAATTGCTCTTTCAAATTGGGAGGTACGCAGTAATTTCGTAATGGCTAGAGCGTTCGAAGCGCATCTAGTAATATTAGTAAAATCGGTCGGTAATATAAAATACTGATTCACAAAAAAGCGGAACTGGGAGGGAGGGAGGAAGGGATGAAGGGAAGGAAGGAAGGATGGATTATCTATCGGTAGCTTCGGGGCCGAAAAGTGGCTTACGACGCGAATCAATTTCGCTTAATGACTCGCACAAAAAGAGCGCGAGTAGCTCGGGTTAAGCGAGCCCCCCTAACCCCTCAATCAATCAACCGTTTATCCCGTTGACTCGCTCTCTCTCTCTCTCTCTCTCTCTCTCTCTCTCTCTCTCTCTCTCTCTCCCCCTTCGACACAAAACGCACACAAACAGCAAACGGACGACAGATGGACAGACGACGGTCAGCTTCCATCTTAAAGTCAGTATCTTGACGACTCCGAGTGGTGATCCCTCGACGGCCGATGCTTGTAGTATCTGTCGTAGTAGTTTTCCTTGGACGGATACCGCGAAGAACTCTCGTACCTACCGTCCAAATCCCTCGCATCCTGATATCTGGCCTCGTGCTCCTTCCCGTACTCGGGCTCCCGCGCGTCGTACCTCCGGTCAGCCTCGTACCTGGCCTCGGCTTCCCGGCCGTCGGCGACCCCCCGACCGTCGGCGTAACGGCCTTCGTACCTAGAGTCTGCGGGAACGCTGTAGCGCGTCGCCGCGACCTCGTGCTCGTAGCCCGACTGCCGCGAATCCGCATAACCGTAGCCATACTTGTCCTGGTGATGATGATGATGGTGATGATGGTGGGCCTCGATCGGCGCGTAGGCCGAGCTCGAACGGTCGTCGTACGCGTACCTCGCGTAATCCGAGTGCTCGGCGGGATAAGCGGCAGCGGCTGCGGCTGCGGCAGCGGCGGCGGCAGCGGCGGCGGCGGCAGCTGTGGCGGGGGCGGCAGGGGCCGCGGTCTGCGCCGGCGTCGCATAGCCCCGGGAGTCGTAGACCCCGGCCGCGCCCTCGTACGCTCCGTACGCGGAGGTCTTGCCGTCGGCATAGCTATACGACTGGGGCGCCGATTCGCCCCCGTACTTGTACTTATTGTCGTCGTACGGGTAATTGGGCGGATAGGAGGGATAGTGGGTAGTTTTGTAATCGTAGTCGGCCTCGTATCTCGGCGGGGGGGTCGACTCCTGACTCATGTTTACGTAGGATTTGTTGCTTGCGGGTGGCATACCGCGATGGCGATTATTGACAGTCTGCGACGAGTGAACCGGGATCGGCCGATAGTACTCATTGACTTTGCACGTGTCATACTGACGAGCCATCACTATGCCATCAATGTTCTGGAACCAGACACAACGACACATGCCCTCGGCAATCACTTTAACGGATAGATAGTTTATACTTTCGTTTCAATCAATCTCTTTGTACTCTTTTCACTCTCACTCACACCTACACACGCTCTCAACCCCCCCCCCCCCCCCCCCCCCCCCCCCCCACCCCCCCCCCCCGATAAGCATTAATCGAATGTTTTTGCGGGTATTGGATGGTTTGT